GGCTTTAATAAGTAACGTTCAGGATAAGTTATGAATGTTTATGCTAGGATTTCTTGACAAAATCTCGCTGATGGTATACCTGGAACTATATTAACATGTGGTGTTATAGCAGTAAGCCATGAGGGTAAACATCTTGGCCTCTTCAGAGTTTTCCATTTGACGGGCTCCATTGGTTGTTATAGTCGTTTGACCGTTTTGTTCTTTGTGTCCGGCTTGCAACTTAATGTAATTAGCACTATTCGATGGAGTCGCATGAACTAGGTTTTTTATTTGATTTTTATAAACAAATGTTTACGAATTTTTTGTCGAGCAAGTTTTTTTTAGTTGGTGATTAGTACATTCTTCTTGCCCTAATGATCTTTTGATTTTTCTATCCTTCACTTATCGATCCGACTAAGTGTTGTTAGATCATTTTTCCCTATTTTGCCGGTCTTGCAAATGATTTTCGTTTTGTGATGTGTTTTATGGTCATTTCTTTCTTTTGCCGAGGGTTGCAGGTCATTTGGGTTTTAGCCTTTAAATCGGGTTAGTTGGCATACCAATTTCGACGCTTGACCGGATCACGGTTAGGGTCGTTTGACCGTTTTGTTCATTGTGTTGGGCTTGCAAATTAATCCTATCAAAGAACAGATCGACTTAACACTATTCGATAGAGTCACATGAACTAGGCGTTTATTTCATTTTTATTAACAAATGTTTTACCATTTTATTTGATTTTTATAAACAAATGTTTACGAATTTTTTGTCGAGCAAGTTTTTTTTAGTTGGTGATTAGTACATTCTTCTTGCCCTAATGATCTTTTGATTTTTCTATCCTTCACTTATCGATCCGACTAAGTGTTGTTAGATCATTTTTTTCCTATTTTGCCGGTCTTGCAAATGATTTTCGTTTTGTGATGTGTTTTATGGTCATTTGGGTTTTAGCCTTTATATCGGGTTAGTTGGCATACCAATTTCGACGCTTGACCGAATCACGGTTAGGGTCGTTTGACCGTTTTGTTCATTGTGTTGGGCTGGCAAATTAATCCTATCAAAGAACAGATCGACTTAACACTATTCGATAGAGTCACATGAACTAGGCGTTTATTTCATTTTTATTAACAAATGTTTTACCATTTTATTTGATTTTTATAAACAAATGTTTACGAATTTTTTGTCGAGCAAGTTTTTTTTAGTTGGTGATTAGTACATTCTTCTTGCCCTAATGATCTTTTGATTTTTCTATCCTTCACTTATTGATCCGACTAAGTGTTGTTAGATCATTTTTCCCTATTTTGCCGGTCTTGCAAATGATTTTCGTTTTGTGATGTGTTTTATGGTCATTTCTTTCTTTTGCCGAGGGTTGCAGGTCATTTGGGTTTTAGCCGTTAAATCGGGTTAGTTGGCATACCAATTTCGACGCTTGACCGGATCACGGTTAGGGTCGTTTGACCGTTTTGTTCATTGTGTTGGGCTTGCAAATTAATCCTATCAAAGAACAGATCGACTTAACACTATTCGATAGAGTCACATGAACTAGGTGTTTATTTCATTTTTATTAACAAATGTTTTACCATTTTATTTTATGATAATTGGACCCAAATACATGTGTATTCGACCTAATTTAATATGGTCAAAACGTGTTGAATCCGTTGTCGACGAATTTTGGTTAGGAATGAATTTTAACCGCTTTTGTAATAAACGAATTGGTCACTTTTGAATTTTGTTAAAAACTCGCCGCTCTTTATCAAACCATTCAAAGCGAGTTAAATACAGTCTCGACGAATTTAGGTTTGGGGACGAGTTTTACCATTTTTTTTAATTAATAAATTTGGCACCTAATTCGATCCGGTCAAACCGAGTTTAATCCTATGTTAGCGAATTTTGTTCGGAAATGAATTTTACTAGCATTTGTAATAAAGGAATTTGATATAGGTGTCAATCGGGCGGGTTCGGGCTGGGTTCAATCGAGTTCAGATTTAAACGGGTTGCGGGTTAGTTGGGTTGCGAGTTCATCGGGTTCGGGTTCATCGGGTTCGGGTTCAAACGGGTTGCGGGTTAGTCGGGTTGCGGGTTCATCGGGTTCGGGTTCAATCGGGTTGCAGGTTCATCGGGTTTTGAGTCGGGCGGCTTGCGGGCGGGTTGGGTTTCGGGTTGTTCGGGCCAGCGCATCAAGTAACTTAACTCATTACTCATTACCAACTTACACATTTTATTACACTAATTTAAAATATTTTCTCAACTTTTTAACCAATTTATTTCTACCTCGTATATATATACTTTGTTTTTTTGAAAAAAACTAGTCAAAATGTTAAATCAATTTGTATGACTTGCAAACTCGTAATGTAATTAATCATAATTGGTAAAGCATTATAGCTAATAGTAATGGTGATATCAATATTTGCAACCAAAAGACACCGTTAATTGTTTATTTGATATTTTAGTATTAATTCAGTAGTAATTGGATTAAAGTATCTCGTTTAGTATAACCATGCAAATCTGATATTTGGCGTGTGGTATTTGGCAAAAGCATAGTGATAAAAGGAGTTATTTCAAAATAACTCATTCCCCAAATAACTTCAGTAAACTGTTGCCCAACGAGTTATTTGTAAAATTGTTCGAATTATCCTAAAAATTGAACCATTAAAGATTAGCTATCAAATTTAGTAAAATTATTGTGAGTTCAATCATAACTTACTCAATAGCATATATCCTATACACTTAGCCTTACCCTCAATCAACAATATTAAGTTAGTATATATTGTTGATTGTATACCCTAAACCATCAATACATTATACACTAACCACATAACCTATACCCTAACCATATGTCCTTGAGTTGTGATTTTGCTAGTATAGTTAATTTAAAAGTGAAATTCATACTTTGATTTTCAAAACATAGATAAAAAGTGATATTTGCTAAATGTTATACCCTAACCATATATCCTATACTTTACACCATATACCTTGTACCCTAACCACATATCATAAACATAAATTAAAAAGGGATCTCCTGTCGTTAAAGACTTCGAATGACTTCAAGTGAACATATGTTAATAAAAAACTTAGAACCGTCAAAACCATCAATATCTTATACCCTAACCATATACACCCTAAACCATATATACCTTATACCCTAACCATATACTTTATATCCTAAACAACGAACCGTCAAAGATTACTTATCAAGTTTAGTATAAATTGTTGTAACTAATGGTTAATTTATTTATTAGCCCATAAACAATTACATACATATTAGCCTTCAAAGCATATAAGAATAATTTTAACTAGTCATGCCCTCCATATAAAAGTTAAAGATTCATATTTCAAAAGCTAAAATTATGAAAAACCAAAAAATTGAAAACACCAAATTTGTTTCATTCTTTCTTTTCACAAAAATACTAAAATTTCCCTCCTTCTTTCTCCTTCCATACATTAGAAAAACTCAATTTTACCCCCTCTTTCTCTTCCATAAAATTGAAAGAACCAAATTACCCTCTTCTTTCCTTCTACAAAAAGTTGAAAAGTCAAAAGTTTCCATCCTTATTTCTCTTTCATAATCAAAAGAATCAAACTTTCTCACTTCTTTCTCTTCCCACATATCAAAACCACCAAAATTCCCACTTGTTTCTTTTCTAAAAAATTCAAAGAACCAAATTTCCCTCTTCTTTCTCTTCCCAAAAACTTGAATACACCAAAATTTCCCTCTTCTTTTAAAAACATCAAATTACCAATTACATTACTTTACTTTATTTATATCTAATTGATAATTTTATTGAATAGTTAAATTAACCAAAATTTTAATTAATATTGTCATGATCTCAAGTGACCTTCATGTTTCAATTTTTGTAATTTTCTTAAAATACGTAATATCAAGTGAGTTTCATATTTTTTAAATTTCTTATACGAAACGAAAAAATAATTTTACTTAAGTTTAAAATGAAAAACTTTATTTTGAAAAACTATGTATTGTATATTTTTATAATTATTCAAGTGGATTAGATGAAATTCTGGTTGAGTCGGTCGGGTTATGGGTTAGTCGGGTTCGGATCAATTGGGTTCGGGTTAATCGGGTTGCGGGTCAGTCGGTTGCGGGTCAATCGGGTTTGGGTTAATCGGGTTGCGGGTCATTCGGGTTGCAGGTTAGTCGGGTTGCGGGTCGGCCGGATTACGGGTTGTTGACTTTTAGTCAATTTGGGTTGCGGGTCGGGTTGATCGGTCGGGTTAATCGGGTCGGGCTATGTTTTGACACCTATAGAATTTGATGACCTTTTCGTTATTTTGCAAAAATGTAATTGTATTCCCTTTCTTTATTTCTTCCCTTCCTCTCTCTCCTGCCTTTTCCCCATCCACTCATTTTCATCAATCTTTCCCGTAACTCCTCCCATCCACTGATTAATCTTCATCTCTCTCCCTCTCCTAATGGAAGAAGACCAACCAAGAGAAAAGGGGGGAAGAAGGAAAATTCCGTCCACCTCGACGGTTGGCTGGATAGATCGTGAGTTCTCCTCTATTTTCAGTTTTTCAACGACGATCTTATTTATGTGCTTCCTCTCTTTGCTGATTTTCTTGAGTTTCTTTGTTCTCGTACTCTTAAAAGAACAAGCAAAAGTGACAGTGTTTATTAGAGTCAAATCAAAGAAGTGGTCATTTTGTAATTGAAGTAAGCTTTAGGTGTATGTTTGGAAGTTTTATGGAGTTTTTTTCCCTTGTGCTTTTCGTCTCTCTTCCCAATCACCCAACTTGCCTTCTCTCTTCCTTCTAGGCAAACCAAAAATCCATTTTCCTAGGAAAAGTTTTTTCCCTCCACTGCTGGAGTGTCGGTTCGTCTCCTCATTGCCCCTTCAGTGTGCTGGTTCCTCTTCCTCCCCCTATCTTCTCGGAGGCGATCTGGTTTCCTACCCAAAAACTGTATTTCTATTGTTTCTGGTGCTGCTAGTGATCTCTGTGAGGTTGATCCTTTGTTTTCCATCCATCTTCGGAGCCTCTCTCCTGTCTCCTGTTTTCCCCTGGATTGTCAAATGGAGCAAGAGATTGTCAAAAAGCTTTCTGGTATCGAGTTAACGGAAGATGAAGAAACTCTCATCAGTCTAGATGATACTATTGAAACTGAAGGAGTCGAAGAAATGATGAAGGAGCTTGGAGTGGTGGGTAAGCTGATATCAGGAAGGTTCCCTCCCGTCAACATTGTTAAAAAAATACTTGGTGAAGCATGGAAGCTGAAGAAAGATTTCGACATTCAAGTTACTAGAGATAACAACTTGCGTCTGCAACTATACTGCCAGGATGATAAAAACAAAGTCCTTCTAGGAGGACCTTGGCATCTGGAGCGTCAGCTCCTCATGTTTAAAGAGATCTCCCCAGATCTTGACCTGAAAACATTGGTTTTCTCTAAGGCCGACTTCTGGGTCCGTATTCGTGAACTCCCGCTGAAATGGAGAAACCTACAGATGGCCAAAAAAATTGGAGAAATGTTTGGGGGTTTTGTCAGGTGGGATGAGTTACACTCTGGAGTCAGTAGCGAGTTTTTGCGTCTGCGAGTAACTATACAGGTTATGAAACCTCTGATAAGGGTGGTTAAGCTGCAAGGAAAGGAAGGGCCGATCTCTTACAAGGTTGGATATGAAAGACTGCCCATATACTATTTCAGATGTGGTCTACTGGGCCACTTAAAAAGATCATGTGCAAAGGAACTACAATCACAAACTGATGAAGAAGATCCCTATGGGGCATGGCTAAGGGCAGAATCAGCACTACGTAGGGTCTCGTGGAAGGAAAAGGAGACAGTAAAGAACCTTACAAAGGTGTGGGCAGAAGTCAAAGCGGAGAAGGAAAATAGACTAGTTGATATTGAAGCAAAAAACAGAACATTCAAAAGGAAAGCAAACAAAAGAATATTGAGGAAGATCTTCAGGACCTGTCCGTCCGGGAAAAAGGAAACGAAGTACAGCTCGAAGTTAGGATGGAGAGTGACGGAAATGCGAACAAAACTACGGAAAAACTCAGCCCCACTTTGTTGTTGGAAAATAAAGAAGGTAGCGATATATCTGAGCCAAAAAGAAAACTAGCTACAGAGAGCGAGGCTTCCATAAAAAAGAAGGAAGAAAAGAAGGAAGGAAAGAAATGGAAGAGAGTGGATCGACAGCTTTCTTCTTCCCAGCAGCAAACAAATACCCTGGTGGGCATAGGAAAAAGAGACTCATATGACGATATGGAAGTTGATGATGAAATAGTTCAGGAGAAGAAACAAAGAGCATCAAAAAACCCCTCTATGGTTGGCGATGTGGCGGTCCTTGCCGAGGAGTAAGGCCGCCGAGCCCAATGAAGATCATAAGCTACAACTGTCGAGGTTTGGGCAGCACCTCGGCAGTTGGGAAGCTTAGAAGACTGGTCCGGAAGCATCAACCTGACATTCTCTTTCTCATGGAAACTAGAAAGGATGAAGCTGGATGAAAGGAAGTTAGGAAAAAGCTGGGCTTCTATGATGGATGTGGGGTGGAAGCCCGAAATGATAGGGGTTGGAAAGCAGGGGGGCTGTGCTTATTTTGGACCGAAGAGGTTTCTATCTCTCATCTTTCCTCTTCTCTCCACCATATCGATACTGTAGTTAGGAATGAAGCTGATGGATTGCAGTGGAGGTTACCCGGTTTTTATGGATGGGCTGAAAGGGGCGAAAGGTTTAAGTCTTGGGATTTACTCAGAAATTTATGTGCTGTGAACTCATTGCCATGGGTGTGTATTGGAGATTTCAATCAAATTGTGGCAGGCAATGAAAAAAGAGGAGGCAGATTGATAAATGAAGCTCAAGCAAATGATTTTAGGGACTCCTTGGAGTATTGTGGTTTGTTGGATTGTGGTTTTCAGGGCTATCCATTCACCTGGGATAATAGCCGCACTAATATGAACTTTGTCGAAGAAAGGCTGGACAGGTGTGTGGCAAATTGGGATTGGAAAATCCTTTATCCTAAACACCAAGTGATGCATTTGGATAGGTGTGGATCCGATCATTGTCCCATATTACTGTATACTGCAGGAAAGGATGATGAGGAAATCAAATGGGGATGGTATTTCCGCACAGAAGATTTTTGGCTTGAAGACCCTGAGAGTGCAGCCATTGTTAAGAAAGCTTGTGAAGAGGTCCCGAATGGGGATATTCAGGACATACTGAGAAAATGCAGAACGGAGCTGCTGAGTTGGAGTAAAAGGAAATTTGGAGACATTCGAAAGAAAATTGACAGAATTGATAGACTTCTGAAAGCTCTCAAATATAAATCCAAGACCGAGGTTGTGATGGAGCAGAGGAGAAAGCTTGAAGAGGAGAGGACCGATTTGATCAGACAAGAAGAACTACTGTGGAAACAAAGATCAAGGATTGATTGGCTAAGAGGGGGAGATAAAAATACGAAGTTTTTCCATGCAAAAGTCACGGCAAGAAGGAAGAGGAACACTATTAAGTTACTCAGAGATGAGGGAGGCAGGTTGTTTAAGGGGCAGAAGGAAGTTACTAGATGCCTCAATGATTTTTACAAGTCCCTCTTCACCAGAGGTATTTTACCTAACTCTGATTATGTTCTACAGGCCTTGCAGCGTAAAATCACCCCTGAAATGAATGAGAATCTTTTGAAACCCCTTAAATGTGATGAAATAAAGGAAGCTCTTGATCAAATGGGGCCAACAAAAGCCCCGGGTCTGATGGTTTCTCTGCAGGTTTTTTTCAGAAAAATTGGGGTATGATGGGACCAAAAGTGATTGAGACAGTGACGAATTTTTTCAATAATGGTGAGCTCCCTCAGGAGCTAAACCACACCCTTATTGCTCTCATCCCAAAGGTGAAATCTCCCACTACTGCTAAAGATTTTCGCCCTATTAGCCTCTGCCGTGTGGTTTATAAGATTATTTCAAAAGTTCTGGCGAATAGATTGAAGGGGATCTTGGATGATATTATATCGAAAGAACAAAGTGCTTTCGTCCCTGGACGGAGCATCACTGACAATGTGATTGTGGCTTTTGAATGTTTCCAGTTTATGAAGCAGAGGGAAAAGGCTAAAGAAGGTTTCTTTGCTGCTAAACTCGATATGGCTAAGGCCTATGATCGAGTTGAGTGGTTTTTTCTGGAAAAGGTAATGAGAAGAATGGGTTTTGAGGACAGGTGGATTGAGCTGATCATGAAATGTGTTACGACGGTTTCCTATTCTGTGCTTGTTAATGGACATAAGTCTGAAACTTTTACACCTACTCGCGGCCTCAGACAAGGGGACCCTCTATCCCCATATCTGTTCTTGTTGTGTGCGGAAGGTTTGTCAGCCCTTATTAAAAAGGCTGAGCGTGAAGGAAACTTGAAAGGGATTCAGATCAGAAAGAAGGCTCCTGCAGTCTCTCACCTCTTATTCGCGGATGATAGTATCATTTTTGGAAGGGCTACCCTAAGAGATTGTGATCAACTGAAAGACATCTTGAGGATTTACTCTGAGGAGTCAGGACAATTGATTAATCTCGATAAATCTGATATTTCTTTCAGCAAGAATGTTAGATGTAGCAGGAGGCTGGAAATTTGTGGAACTCTCGGTATCAAAGAAGTGGAAAAGCATCCTAAATACTTGGGATTGCCTACGGTGGTCAGCAGGTCTAAGAAAGCCATCTTTGAAGATATTAAGGAAAGAGTGCGGAAAATACTCAAAGATTGGAAGAACCGGACCATGTCACGGGCAGGAAAGGAGATCCTTATTAAAGCGGTTGCTCAGGCTCAATTCCTTTACCCTATGTCGGTGTTCCTCCTAACAGATGGCACCCTAAAGGAGATACAAAGTTTGATCTCAAACTTCTGGTGGGGGCAGAAAGGAAAAGAGGTGAAAATCAAATGGATAGAGTGGGATGAATTGTGCGACAGGAAGGAAGAAGGGGGAATGGGCTTCCGAGACTTGAAGGCTTTTAATCTAGCCATGTTGGGGAAACAAATCTGGAGCTTGATCTCGAAACCAAACTCTTTAATGGCCAGAATTCTCAAAGCACGGTACTTCCCAAAAGCTGATATTCTGGAGGCTAAGTTGGGTTATTGACCTAGCTTCATTTGGAAAAGTCTTATGGAGGCTAAAGAAAGGATTGTAGATGGTTTTCGGTGGAAGGTTGTCAATGGAAACTCTATCAAAATATGGGAGGATGAGTGGATTCCTGGTAAGAATTTCTTCTTCCCAGACCCTATCCCTTCAAATGATCTCCCTGGAGATCGAGTTAGTACTATTATAGACCAAGAATGGGGATGCTGGAATATGGAAAAGATCAGAAACACTTTCTCTACTATGGACCAGGCTTTGATCCCTAGTATTCCTCTTTGCTCCCCACTGAAGGAGGATTCTCGTGTGTGGAAGGATTCGGAATCTGGAATCTATACAGTAAAGACAGCCTACTCTCGGATCAGGAATAGACAGCAAAGTACGGTTGCTCGTCTACATAACAAGAACGAAGATGATTCTGATTTTTGGAAGAGCCTATGGAATTTCAATACCCAACCAAAAATAAGGATCTTCCTCTGGAAAATTTGCAAGAATATCTTACCGGTGGGGGCGAATGTGGCGGAATGGTTTGAGGAAGCTTGTATTGAATGCCCTTTTTGTAATCTTAAGGAGACCCAGATGCATGCCCTCCGGGAGTGTGCTTGGATTAGACGACAATGGCAGACATGCGAGGTAAAGGTAGTGTATGAGCTGGGAGAAAACAAATCTTGCTTTGAATGGATGAAAGAAGTCTGGAGAGTGTGTTCTACAGAGCAGATCCAGAAATTTACCTCTATTCTCTGGTTTCTATGGAAGGAAAGATGCAACCAGAAATATAACAATCACAAGCTGGAGGAAGGGGAGATTGTCCCTCGTGCTCTTTCGTGGATTGACTGTTATCTCGCGGCTCAATCGCCTACTGACCGGACGATTGCTCCTGCTGGGTCGGCGCAAGCTACTGGTCGGGAAAATCGCCTCTGGAATCCTCCTCCGCCAGGTGCTTTCAAACTGAATTCGGATGCTGGGGTCTTCCCTGGGGGTGGAGTCGGCTTGGGGTGTGTGATTCGAGACTGCAGGGGTGATTTTGTTGGATCTACGATGAAGAAGGAGAAGGGCTCGTGCAGGCCAGTGGAGGCTGAGGCCAGGGCAATGGTAATGGGTTTAGCGGAAGCGAATAGGAGATGTTTGAGCCCCCTTGTTGTCGAATCCGATTGCCAAACACTTATCAACAAGCTGGGAAGGAAGGAGGCTGATGTCACTGAATTGGGAAGCTAGTGTGAGGAAATTCATAGATTGGGAAGAGTGAATGAGTTAATTTCTGGAACCCAGGTGGTGTGGTGTTTTGCAGATAGGAAGAAGAACGCAGTGGCCCACTGGCTTTCTCACGCGAGTGTTCAATGGGATCAACAAGTGGTGTGGATTGAAAATCCCCCTCTGTCTCTTTTGGCGAGGCTGGAAGATGATTTGGGCCGTGGCCCATGTGTGAACGTGTAAACTTTCTCAATTTTTTCACACAGGTTCCCATAAAAAAAATCCATTTTCCTCCCTCCCTCTTTCTGTACAAGAACCAAAAAACTAAGGAAGAAAGAGAAGATTAGTCACATCAATTATGATTTTTTTTATTTCTCATTTTTAATTAATTAAATGTTTTGAGTATTTCTTTTTATGACAATTGACACATCTGTATTGTGTAGTGTATTCAACCTAATTTGTTATCGTCCAGGTGTCGTCAAATTTTGGTTCGAGAACTAATTACATCCGCTTTTGTAATTGATGAGTTTGGTCGTCTTTGAATTTTGTTTAAAACTAACCCCTTTGACCGGTCCAGGTGTTGTCGAATTTTGGGTTATGCCCGCTTTTGTAATTGACGAATTGGGTCGTGTGTGAATGTTGTTTAAAACTCACCCCGCTTTATCAAGCCGATCATAACGAGTTCAATCCAGCTTTGACGATTGAACCCGAATCCATTGTATTCAGCGTAATTCGACCCGGTAAAAATGAGTTGAACCTAGTGTTGACGAATTTTGGGTTGGGGCAAGTTTTACCTGCTTTTGTAATTAACGGGTTGTGTCAAGTAT